AGCTCCGGAGCCATGAGCAGCGCCGTGCTCCTCGCCCACCTCCCCGACCCCAGCAGCAGCTTCAGGGAAGACGCCCCCMGACCCCCTGTCCCGGGGGAGGAAGGAGAAGCACCATGCCCGCAACTCTCCAGCTCGTTTTTCCCCAAAAGCCAAAGCTTCCAGGCCATGCCGGTGCCTCCTGCCCCGCGGAGGAATGAGAACGGACTCGGGGAGCCGGAGGGCAGCGCGTCCCCGGACTCCCCTCTGGCCAGATGGACCAAATCCTTGCATTCCCTCTTGGGAGATCAAGATGGTGCCTATCTTTTTCGGACCTTTCTGGAAAGGGAAAAATGTGTGGATACCTTAGATTTCTGGTTTGCCTGCAATGGCTTCAGGCAGATGGACCTTAAGGATACCAAAACTTTACGAGTAGCCAAAGCTATTTACAAAAGGTACATCGAGAACAACAGCATCGTSTCCAAGCAGCTCAAACCTGCCACCAAGACCTACATAAGGGACAGCATCAAGAAGCAGCAGATAGATTCCATCATGTTTGATCAGGCACAGACTGAGATTCAGACCGTGATGGAGGAAAATGCTTACCAGATGTTTTTAACTTCTGAYATATACCTCGAATATGTACGGAGTGGTGGAGAGAATCCTGCTTACATGAACAGCAACGGACTGGGGAGCTTAAAAGTTGTCTGTGGCTATCTCCCGACCTTGAATGAAGAAGAGGAGTGGAGCTGTGCAGACTTTAAAAGCAAAATCTTGCCTTCGGTAGTTGGACTATCCAGCAAGACGTTGAGGGTTACAGCGAATGTCAGAGCCACGGAAACGATCGAGAACGGATACAGGTAAGGGAACCCCTGGAAATTGTGCTTTGTTTTAACTTTAAAGACTTTGAGAGTGGTTTTCAGGCGGTTGTTGGGGTGGGAATCGAGGGGAGGCTGGGAGCACGGCTGCTTCCCCACACCTCCAAACACTGGAATTTGTGGGGTGTTGTCTGAGCTTGGGGTTTTCCCCCCCCTCTACAGAGGAAAACAAGATCCTGTTCTCTGAAGCCCTATTGGCTCTTTCAGTTCTTTTATAGATCAAAAACTTCATAGCAGCTATGTCCTCCGGACATACGTTAATTATTGGTTCAACTTTCAAACCTATTAAGAGCAGTAGTGGAGTGGATCATAGAGACACATGAATAATGTAACCTACCAGTTCCCCAGCTGCACCATCAACCGGTGTTTAACGATGTTGGTTATGTGGGAAGCAATTGTGCGGTCGTGGAGGAGGAAATGTGTGCACTGTCTGCACCAAACTGTGCAACTTGGGCAGAATCTGCTTTTATTTTGACTCTGTGTGTGTGTGTGATGYGTGTGATGTGCAGCYTCTCCATCGCGTGGRGTGTTGGTGTCATGTCAGAGCCATCTAGGGTGGCTTTGAGCCACTGCATACAGGAGGATACTTAAAATTTGAGTGTTTAAAGTGGTGGAGGCATTCCAGGCGTGGAATAATCGATGTTTGGTTGGTCTTTGGTGCTCTCATGTTGGATGTGAGCTCAGAGTTAGGCTCGTTARGAGGTGGTTGTGTCGACAAGGATGTGGGGACCTTGGTTGGTGACAGGATGTCCCTGTGCCCTGGCCCTGGGCTGCATCTGCATTGCCAGAGCCTTCTCTTTTGTTGGAAATGTTGATGGCACAGCGGTGTGAKGGTGAGGAAAGTCGGAGCCGTCTCCAAGTGAAGGGGGGGGATGGTAGAGAGAGACTCTGATGAGCAAATGATGAGTTGTATAATCCTCTGAAAATGTATTCTTTCCTCTCCCCACCCTTGCCATAAATGTGGATTGTTGAATCAGGGCTGAGAGGAGAGGGCTCTGCTGCAGATGTGCGCTCTCCTCCGCCGGCCCGGGAGCCTGGGGGTTGGTGTGGTGAGTGTTTGACATCTCGTTTACAGGAATTTTGAGAGTGTGTCTGTGATTCATGGACATCAAAGGGCACCGGGCTTCTCCCGGCGAGGCTTTGCTGGAGCTCGCCCTCCTCTCCTGCCCCCGGAGAGCTTCCAGCTGTGCCGGGCTTCCTGGTGCTGTGGGGTGCTGGCAGGGTCCCCCCTGCCCGGGAGGGTGCTCGGGGGCTTCTCTGGTGCTGTCCCTGTGCTGGAGGCGCTCCTGCCCACGGGGAGGGGTGGAGGTGCTGGCGTGGGGACAGAGGGGATGCAGGACAGGAGGGATGTAGGAGTGGAGGGATGCTCTCCATCCTGATGTGGGGACAGGAGGGATGCAGGACAGGAGGGGTGCTCTCAGTCCCAGCGTGGGGACAGGAGGGATGCAGGATAGAAGGGATGCTCTCCATTCCGGTGTGGGGATAGGAGGGATGCAGGGCAGGAGGGATGCAGGACTGAAGGGATGCTCTCCATCCCAATGTGGGGACAGGAGGGATGTGGGACAGGAGGGATGCTCTCCATCCCAATGTGGGGACAGGAGGGATGCAGGATAGATGGGATGCTCTCCATTCCGCTGTGGGGGCAGGAGGGATGCTCCCCGCTCTCCATCCCATCATGGG